CATTTGTGTTGTTGCTGAACAGTATTTCTCTGAACAAGTTGTTAGCTTTGCCAATAATTATCAATGCATCTTGAGTGCATGTTTGTTCAATTTCAGATGGAAGAAGTTGCTAAAATTCTCTTAATTTCTGCATTGCTATCTTTAGCGATTCACACATACCGGTAACCAATAGTTGTATTGATTAGATTTTATTGTACCCAAATATATGTAATTCTATTACAGACAATGTTGTACTTCAAGATTGAACTTGAAATATTCTTTTTGTAAATTAATGCAAAGCAATTCCTTCTGATTGTGTCATTCCCAGCATGTAAGCCACTGCTTACAAGATGGTCTGATTCAAAATGGCCATTACCAGTTCATTTCAGCTTACAAACACCTAGGATACCGGTCTTCATGTATTCCATTTCATATTTGACAACTTCTAATTTTCCTATATTCATATTTTGTACATTCCAAGTTCTAATTATTAGTAGATTTTTGCAGCCGTTCTTCTCCTTTTGAATTGTGTTCCCTCAGCAAATGAAGGTCCCAGAGGAAGGAATTACTCCCACACGGGCTTTACTCTGTGGTCACCTTTACTTTTAAAAGCCACCTCTTCCTCATTCATATTTTGAGTCCCTTCTGAATGAGCTGCCTCATCTTCTGGCACTAATTTTGACAATGTTCTGACTTTTTTCATGAAGCCCTCAGTATTTCACAATGTTTGCATGCTATGCACAATGTTCTCAGTGGCTACTTTCTCCGAAGTGGACAGTCAAATCCTTCTTCATGGTCTGTTCTGAGTTTGGAAGCTCCCCTATCTTCTGACATAAAGAAACCAAAAAGCAACCCACCTTTGTTGGTGTTACTTGCTGCCTTGAAAAAAATATTTCACTACAAAACTCACCACATCGGGTTGATTCTGACTCACGGCGATCTTATAGGACAGGGTAGAATTGCCACTGTGGGTTTCTGAGACGCTAACTCCTCACAGGCGTCAAAAGCCTAGTCTTTCTCCAAGGAGTGATTGGTGGTTCCAACTTCTGACTTGGCAGTAAGCACCCAACACACAGCCACTGTGACACCAGGGCATATTTCACCACAAAAATTCCTAAATATAAAACTTTTTACTAGGAGTAATGGCTGATTACCCATTACCACCTAGTTGATTCTGACTTATGGTGACCTTAAATCGTGTTTCCAAAATGGTAAATCTTTGGGGAACAGATAGTGTCATCTTTCTCACTTGCAATGGCTGGAAAACTTGAACCTCCAATCTTGTGGTTAGCAGCCCAGTGCCCAAGCTGAAGTGCCACAGGGAACCTCGATGTCTGATCAGTGTGCTCACATAGGCTCCAATGTACGTAAATGTATACAGCTTTGAAAGACCAGTGGGGCAGTCCGGCTCTGTCCTATAGAGTCACTAGGAGCTGGAATCACCTTGATAGCAGTGGGCTTGGTTTATGATATTTACCTTCATCCACAAAGTCCCTGCATGGCATAAATGTTATGCACTTTGCTACTTCAGGTTGGAAAGCCAAGTTCACTCAGAAAAGTCTTGCAATCTATTGCTTAGTCTTCCATATTTCCTAATACATTTTAGAGTCAAGTTTTTCATTTCCACACAAGAGAAACCTGCTGGAATATAGGAATTCACTTAATTTGTCATTGTGTGTAGATATTGTGCTAATTCTGCATATTTATTTTAATACGTTATGAAATATTTTAGGTTTTCTACATAAACTATCTTCTTGTTTTCAAATAATGGAAATTGAAATTTTACGACAACACCCTGGTAACAAATTATCTTGGTTTTTTTTGCTTTAAAATGTCCATCATTAGCCTTAGTTTTTTGAAAGCTGTTTTGTTGCTGGAGAGGGAAATCTCGACTGATAATGACTTTGTTTCTGTCACTTTAAAGATACCATTTAATTGTTTTCTGACATTCATTGTATCTGTTGAGAGTTCAGTTTTCAACCTTGTTTCCCCTTTGAAGAAACTGTGTCCCTTTTTTCTGGCTGTTTTAACTATTTAACTATTTCTGTTTGAATTTATAATAGGTTTACTCATGATGGTCTTGGGTTTGAGTGTTCTATTTGATCCTTCTTGTGCCGATTCTTTATTATTATTATTAATTATTACTATTAGTCTCCCAGCCCCATAACCTATTTAAAGCTCTCCATAACAATTATATTCATATTAAATGGTACTGAAATCAAATATCCCTTTAAAAATAGATGGCATAGTTTTTCCTTTTATAATAATCTAGTCTAACCTCTAAGATACTGGAGTGTGTTCAACAAATGGTTAAGAGATGAAATAATTTATTTTAGATTATCTCTTTAGGTAGAACATAGAGCCAAATTTTAGCCCAGTATTAGAAAGAACTTCCCAATTATTAGAGTCATGCAGGAATGAAAGGGACTGCCTTATACGTATAAAGGACCTGTCACAAGAAACGTTCAAGCAGAAATTTAAAAATCATTTGTCAGGGAAGCTGTGGAGATGATTACAGGTTTGGCATTAATTTGGGTTAGATAACCTCCAAGTTTTTCCATCGTTTAGTTTCTCGGATTCCAGTTTTGTTCCAGCTGTGATTGCTTTTTCTCCCTCTTTTTTGTACTTTGTTTCATCCTTTCTGACAGTGACGTGTATCTGAATTATGGGGTCTGAGTCTTCTGACACATCTTTGTGAAAACCAGGGCAGTCAAGTACTGCCAGCTAAGATCAGGGAGCATTAAAATGAGCTCCCTCTGGAGTCTAACATAGCTTTGCTTACACAAAAAGCAGTCAAGGGTTTTCTAAGGGACTATAAAATTGACAGTAAACTAGACATATCTATATAATCATAGGAAAATAAGATTGATTTAATGAGAGATGCAAAAGCAATGGAGGAGTTTACTGTCATGGTGACTGAAGAGTATTGTATAGTGCAACTTATATCAAAGAAAGATGACAGGTCAGTTACAGTTATAAAAGTAGGTAGTGTTCCGGATTCACCTCAAGATCATCTTTACCAGATCTGAAGGTGTGTTCATAAATCAAAAATCTCATATAGATTTCATGCTGTCTCTAGTGTTTCAAAACTCAAACTCTCTGCCATTGAGTCAAGGCTGACTCACAGTGACCTCCTGTGGGTTTCCAAGACTGAAGCTGTTCACGGGACTAGAAAGCCCAGTGTTTCTCTCAAGGAGCTGCTAGTGGATCTTGAACTGCCAACCACATGGATCACAGCTCAATGTGTAAACACTACACCAGGAGGGCTCCTTCGTATTTCAAAAGTCAACTGCAAAACACAGAATATGGTTATGATTACATATATAAAACTTGATGATTGCATAAATAAAGCTAGCCAATTCCTGACCATGTTATGGAAAGAGAAGTATTTACACATTGCAGTTTTAAACAAAACACAAAATTTATTAAAGTAAATCATCTAGTTGGTTCAGCATAAAATGCAAATTTGTTTTCTGCATTTGATACTGAACTGGTAGTCCAGGTTTTCATCAATATTTTAATATGCATTATCACAAACCAAGCACAGTATGATTTAATGTTAATTTATTTGCCAAAATTATCATCCTCATCATATAACTTATTTAAAGTAAATTTCCTAATATTTGATAAAATAATATTGTAAAAAGATAATCTCTTTATTTTCCTCAGGTACCACACAAGAATTACAAAGACAGTTTTTTAAAATTTAAGAGTTCCAAAGAGCGAAGTGTTTTTTGTTTTTAATTAGGAAACATGAAAACACTGAAATGAATTTTCCCTCTTATTTTACAGATGAGAAAATGGAGACTCAGAGAGGTTGAACAATTTGCCCAAGGAAAAACAACTAATAGATAGTTTTTCTAGATTCAAACCCAGAATTATCTGATTCTAAAATTCATGCTCTTAATCACTTATCCTGCTGTGCGCCTATGTTTAAGCGGGTAGCAGTGGGACTGAGGGAAAGGGGAGTGGAGATGGCATTTCAAAGACAATATCCACAGGCAACATAGAGTTTCAGTAAGCAAGGGTTAGAACAATACCACCTAGGCTCCTAGTTAAGAGACTTAAGGAAATTTTGTTTTAATGTACAAATAATTAAAAGAAAGAAGCCAAACAAATAAGGCAAGATAGGAATTTTACTTAGATAGAAAGGTAGTGTGATTGGTTTTCATCTTACTGAGTCACTAAAACAAATACTGGTTCCACTTGGTTGAATAAAAATTGTTTATTTATAGGTTCTTTTCATGCCATTTCTTGGTGTTTTTGAAAGCGTCATGAAAGCCTTTGAACTATGTGGTGCTTTGGAACAGTGGAAGGAATATAGGCTAGAAACCAGAGGATCTCTGATTCAAATATCAACATTCAAATCTTCATCTTACACACTATGGGACCTTGGACAAATATGTAATTCCTCACAGCCTCAATTTGCTCTTTTGTAAAATGCAGACAATCGTATTTACTTTGCAGAATGTTGTAAAATTGAGCAATATTATAAATTAGAAGTAACTAACATTGGGCCTGGTATACAGTATATACTTTGAAAACCAATAGCATATGGTAATAATAACAATACTAAACCCATACTCACTGCTATTGAGCTGAAGCCAACTTATGCCAACCCTGCATAATATATATATAATTATATAATATATAGCAGTAGTACTTCTTTACTCTAGAGAACGCCTGAGGCCCAATAACCATCTCCACACTAAATCAAGTGCTTTGGGCAAAGTTTAACCTACATCATTCTTAATTCAACCTGGTATTGTATTTGGGCATAGACAAAGAATGCTTTCCTGAACTGCTTCAGGCAGAGTGGGTTAGTGAATGCTATTCAATAACTGTAGGAGGCAGAGCACTTCAGGGCCTTGCATAGAACAGCAGCATTGGAAATGTGCTCGCAGGGATATAGAGGGCTGACTAAATGGCAATCCCAAGAGACCCAAGAAATGCATGCCACTGCCCACACTTGCACTGGTTGGACATTGAACGCCTGCCTACTTGTGTGATGCTCTCCACAGATCTGTACCCCTGACCTGGTGGTGTTCCTGGCTTGCACCAATCAGAGACTCAAAGAAAGATTACTGAAGCGTGCAGAACAGCAGGGGAGACCTGATGACAATCTGAAAGCCACCCAAAGGAGATTAATGAACTTCAAGCAGAACGCTGCTCCACTGGTGAAATACTTCCAGGAACGGGGGCTCGTCGTGACAGTAAGTTAGCTACTTTTACATGGTCCAGAGTAAAAACAATCTGTCCGATTTTTAATAAACCCATGCTCTTATTTAGAAATCCTCTTTACCTTGGAACAAGTGACTGGTTTTGTGTGTAGACAGTGGGAAAGTTGATTTTTACCTGATCTGCCTTTATTAAGCCACAATTACCAAAACCTTCATTTTAGTTCAATTTTAAGAACTAAAATAAATTTTAATCTTGGTTAGAATTCCATAGCCCACAAACAATTTTTAAACTACTTTAAAAGCATTATTTGAGTTACTTTAAGAAATATTTGGCCCACTCCTCAACTCCTCTCTGTGCCTTTAAAAACCTGATAAAATTGAGTTTGACATGTTGACATGTATTGGATTTAGGTTGCAAATCAGGCTTTGCTTACCATAATGGGATATATACAGACATGGAATAGTGGTTCAGAAAAATGTACACCTCGGGGCTTGACTTGTTTTAGTGCCACTGCTTCCACCTGGAAGGTGTTCGTCTGCGTGCTCCATTGGACACAATGCAAATATATTTCATAAACCTTTATGTAGTTCTTTGTTTTATGGTTAGTGGTATTTAATGTGTGGAAGGAAAACACTGATTCATCAATTCTCAGAATATAAGAAGTTATGAGTGAAGATTCAGCTAAATGTATGATCTCCAACCATCAGAAATTCAACTATTAAAGCACTAAACAAACAAACAAAACCAGTGACTGCTTTGCAGTTAAGTGAATTCCAACTCTAGAGACCCCAAGTGTATCAGGGTAGAGCTGTGTGCTCCATTGGGTTTCAAGCTGATTTACTTTGGGAAACAGATGACCAGGCCTTTATTCTAAGCTTCCTCTGGGTAGTCTTGAACATCCAACATTTTGATTAACACCTGAGCATGTTAACTATTGGCACAACCCAGAGGCAAAGAGAGTGATAGACCATCTGGAGAAAGGACATCTGGACACTAAGTCCTGAGCACATCCATAACAGCGCGGTGGTGACAGACCTCATCAGAAGCCCCCTTTCTGCCTTTGCCCACTCTTAGCAGACCAAGGATTCTTCTTTAGTAGGATCACGAGACCCCTAGAGAATTTGACAAAAGTGCTGAATGCCAACACCAGTAAAATGAACATAAGACGTTTACACTAATTTTAGGTAAATCAGTTGAAGCTCATCCACAGAGCTCCTATAACCTAACAATTCCTGGGTTCGAAAATGTTTACATTCAATAGACTACAATGTCCTTAAAACAGAAAAAGATAGTCACAGTATTTGAATAATAATCTCTTCACAGTCTTCTTAACACTTTCAGGAAATATTAATTATGATTTGCTGTTTGAGTCAAAGTTGTCATGTCTGAGATGTAAATCTTGTCTGAAAATTGTGCACCAGGCTGGAGTTCATTTTTTTTATCCCAAACACACATTGAGTAAGAGGAAAAGATCAGAAAAATTAGGCCAATTTTCTATGGCTATTTTTTGTTGAGGTTGTTATTTGTTTTTCTTACAAATCACCGGTGCTGACTGCTGCATTATCTCAGGGAAAAAAGGATATTTGCAGACCAAACCCCGACTGTAAGGCACAGAGCCAGAGTTTTAATTGATGTTTGCAAGCCTTAAAGGTATTACCGCAGTGCCTCTGTGATTACTCCCTGCTTGTCACATTCGTCATCACAAGCAGAGCAGATTTCCCAAATGAATGCAGAGTGGGGTTTGTTAATTTACTAATATTTTGCATGGAGGTGAAATGCCATTGCCTCTAATTGAGGGAGTCAGTAACAACGTGGATGACAGCATGCAACCCCAATGCTAAAACCAAATGGGCCTGCAGACAAACACCTCTAATTATTGGGAGAAGATGAGCCTTAGAAAGTCACTATTTGGAAAGTGAAGAACACAAACCCAGGCTGAACTCCAGGGAATAGGACTTGATAAAAGTAGGGTGCGAACTATACCCAGAAACGTGCTGCCTTTCAGCACATGGCTCAGAGCTCACTTTTACAGTAAAAATATATTTGACTGAAAAACTTGGCTTATACATGAGTATATACGGTTTGTCTCTTAATAAATTCACTCTTCTCAAATATATATATATATATTTTTTTTTTTTTTGACTGTACTTGTGGTTTTAAAGATGATCACAGGGTGTCGACAGGATCAGGTAACAGGCATCAGAAGACCCCCCAAAATGATTATATTGTTGATAACAAGTAAGGTTGGAGTGGAGAGCCATCTGTAGACAATTAGACCTCTTCTCACAGAAGGTTCACAAGGAAGGGACGAGTCACTCAGGGTGCAGAGTAGCACCGACGAAACACAATATTCCTCTGGTGCCTTGAGGCTTCCTCACCCCCAATACCATGACCCCAGCTGTACTGTACAAATCCAGCTAGACTGGAGCGGGTATATTGGTACGGACAAGAGCTCTTGACACACAGAATCCAGGTCAGATAAACCACTCAGGAACAGCAGTAGGTGTAGTGATACCAAGAGGGGAGGTGGAAGGTGGCAGGAGAAGGGGGAGGAAAGGGGAAACCAATTGCAATGATCGATGTATAACTACCTGCTCCCCAAGGGGAAAGAACAACAGAGACATGGGTGAAGGGTGACACAGGTCGGTGTAAGATAGGAAAATAATAATTTATAACTTATAAAGCGTTCACCAGGTGGGAGGGTAGGGAAAGGAGGAAAAAAGGAGCTGATCCCAACAGCTCTAACAAAAAGAAAATGCTTAGAAAATGATGATGGCAACATATGTACAAATGTGCTTGATACAATTGATGAGGGATTGTTATAAGAACTGTAAGAGCCCCCCAAAAATGATTTAAAAAATAAATAAAGTCATTATATAAATAGATACAAAGATAGATTTGAAATCACGAGCATAATTGGATTTTAATTTTAAAATTCAGGGGTTAATATTTTGGCTCAAATCCAAATACTTCCTTTTTCTGTAGGTTTTTGTGGGGTTTTTTGCTTCAACTCATCTCTCCTGATTCATTGATTTATTCATAATGATGCTTACTGAGAACCAGCAGGCACTAAATATTTTCCAAGGTGCCAGGGGTGCAAAGCTAAATCTTTAAAAAACAAAATAAAGTTTTATTTACTGATATATTTCAAGCACCAAGAACAATGCCTGCCTGGTATGTGGCAAGCTCTCAATAAATGAACAGAGTTCACAATCTTTGGGAAAAGAAATATAAAATATGGGGTTATTAAGTGTGGTGATTGTTACAAATAATAACAGAATAAATAGTCTCATATAGGTCACCACTGTGCTACGCCTTGGAGCTCCCAGTGGTGAATCGAATAGACCATGAGCACTGCCCATGAGCAGATGAATCTTTTATCTTAGTGCTAGGCTCTTAAGGACCACATAAGAGTTATAGTTTGGAAACGGTCAGGGGCAGCTCTGTCCTGTCTTATAGGGTTACTATGAGTCAGAATAAACTCTATGGCAATGAGTTTACCTTTTCCTTCTACTTTAAGGAGGCACATCTTTCCCTCGCCCCACACCCACACCCCCTTCCAGTGGTAGTTTGAGTGTCATTCAACTTGAGAGGCTGCTCTTCTTGCACTATATCAGACTATATTCCACTGTCATTCATCCAGTTTTCAGTAGCTAATTCCCTAAAAGTGGATAATCTATTCCTCTTGTTTTAGTATGGAAGTGCTGCTGAAACTTGTTAACCTTAGATGGCCCTACTGGAATTTGAAATATCAACATCAATGCTGAAATAACAATGCTGACATTGCTCCCAGCATCTCAGCAACAGGCAAGCCATAACAGCATGATAAACGGGCAGACAGCTAGAGTATAGAAGTCCAAAATCAGGCCATCCACAGTCATAATCTCTGAAAACTTTAGAGATAATTTCCTCTTTCAATTTTTTTTTTTTTAGCTTCGGTCAATCTGTAGTGTGTCTTGATGCATTGCTCCAGTTTCTGCCGCCATCTTCACATGACTGTCTTCCCTCTTCCTCTCTTGGGGTACTGTATGTGCCCCTGTGTTCGTTCTCTTCTGACAAAGACACAAGCCATATTGGATTAGGACCCATGCTACTCTGGTATGAACTCTTTTAACTAATGACATCAGCTTGGACTTGATTTCCAAATCATGGTTACATTCATAGGTAGCAGGTAGTAAACTTCCAGCACTCCTCTTTGAGAGACACAAATCATTTCAGCAACTATATGGGACATCCATGCGTGCAAGTATGAACTAAAGTAATATGACAGCACAAGGCTAGTATATCAGAGACTTCCACATAGAATCTTCTGAGACACGCTTATATATGTCTTCAGTCTACCATCATGTTGCGTAAGGAGCCCTAGTAGAGTAATAGATTGCATGTTGGGCTGTTAATTACCAGGTCAGTAGTTCAAACCCATCAGTTACTGCACTGGAGAAAGGTGAGGCTGTCTGCTACTGTGAAGATTTAGTCTCAGAAACTCAAAAGAAGCAGTTCTTGTCTGTCCTCTAGGGTCTCTATGAATCAGAGTAGCCTCGCCAGGAGTGAGATTGCTCATCGGGTCGCCAGATGTAATTGTGCATTGTGCTCTTTAGGGTTTTATGTTCTAATTAAAAATTAGCGTGTCGTGTGTTCCCAAAGTTCTATGGCAGTATTTCTGTGAAGCTTGTTTGAGTATTATTGGGACTAGGAAAGCTAATATTTGGCTTAGTGTGCCTTGGGATATTTTGAAGCACTTGAATGAACTCAATAAAACTATAATCCTTGATCAAAAATGTTCTTTACTGTGTATTTTTTTTAAATCCTCCATAGGGTGCCTACTTTTCAATTTTTTTCATCATTTTAAAGCCTTGTAAAAAAAACTAGATTCTGTTTTAAAATTATCCTTACCAAATTGGAAGCCTTTTTAAAAAAAAATTAGTCAAGTTAGGGCAGTCTTTGTAAGTTTGATAACTTTTTTGGAAATTACAAAGGTTTGTTTGCTTTTTTAAAAGGTGGACTTTAAAAATGCTAAAAAACCAATAAGGTG